ACACCTCGCGGTCAGCGCCTTACATGGATTACCCCGTTGACGTATCAAGGTACTATAGATGCTTTGAAGACTGTACAACACAAAGGGCGTTATTACAGAAAAATATTAGTTAAAATATATACAAGCGAAGGTGAGACCACTGCCACATGGGTCAACCCATGGCGTACGATTAACTGATGCGCGTTGGCCGTCCTTGACCTTGACGGGGATCGATAATCTGTTCGATATCCAGTGACCCGACTTCTGGATGATTAGGCTAGGGCTTAGTGACATTTCGCTGACCCTACACAACTATTAAATGGTACATTTCCGAGGAAAAAAACTCAATTTGAAGTTTTCTACATGATATCGACACTGTTTTTAAGCTAATTACAAGTAAATTATGTCATATGTAATACAATAAATTAATATTGCATAATAAGTTTATAGATGAAGATTGGTTGAAGTTAGACATTAACACCGTTGGATGCTGGCTCAGTGGTCTAATGGGTAAGTGCTCGCGCGCGAAACCAGTAGGTCCTGGGTTCGAGTTCTGCGGGATCGTGGATGCGCACTGCTGAGGAGTCCCGTACTAGAAAGAAACGGCCATCTAATGCTTCCAGGTTTTCCATGGTGGTCTGGCTTCAATTGACTCATGATTTCAACCTGTGGGATTTCTAAAAATCTCCACGAAACCCATTCTGAAGATGAAGATTACTTAAACAAATCATTCGGTTAGTACATAAAAGAATTATAGTTTGAAGTGAAATAATCAGTGCAAATAAACAGTATAAGGTTATAGAAACCATCAAAATCAACGGAAGACTACTTTGTTTCAGTATAGAATAAATGAATATTCATTTCACATAGAAAATAAGTCGATGAAATCTTAATACATATAAAATAGCAAAAGTTAGTAATTACCACCTGAAGATTAATCAAATAAAGTCAATATAAGAAGATCCATAATTATAGGATCCTATTAACCTTATTAATTAAGAAAAACAATGTAGAATAAATCAGATAATGAGATCATGCTATTTTTATATGAATTAATCGAACGAGTTTGAGTAGGAATGTAATTCATTCAGTTACATAGTACACATTTATTACACCAAACTAGAAAAAAAACTTGATTTTTTACGTGACTATTAGTGGTAACTTGACAAGTGTAAACTTAAAGTAAATGGAATGTGTAGGAGAAAATAGTTGACTATTAAGCTTAATAAGACAATAAACTTGATATTTATAATAATCTATTGGACGAAATGGCCGTCCAGTGCTTCCAGGTTCTCCATGGTGGTCTAGCTTCAATTGACTCATGATCTAAACTGTTGAAATTACTACAATCTCCACAAAACCCCTTCTGATACTAATCAACATATGCTCATTAGTGACTGGTTTCAAGAGGTATATCCTAGAGTTCTAGTGAGAAGCAGTGACCAGTGGAGTTTAACCGGGTCATTTGTGTGATAGTAACTCACTGACGACAATGGTGGGTGTGTCGCTCAATTTCGTGGATTAGTTGAAGTTAGACATTAACACCTTTGAATGCCGGCTCAGTGGTCTAGTGGGTTAAGCGTTAGCGCACGAGGATGGTAGGTCCTGGGTTCGAATCCCGTGAGGGGGATCGTGGACGCGCACTGCTGAGGAGTCCCACAATAGGACGAAACGACCGTCCAGTGCTTCCAGGTTTCCAACGGTGGTCTAACATCAATGGGTTCGTGATCTCAATCAAGAAAGAATTCATTTTAATCTAGTGTTGTATACAAGTAGCTAAGTGGATAATGTGATGACGTTAGAAGCTAACGGTAATGGTTTCGATTCCCGGAGTCAACATTAACTCGAATTAAGGTACATCCAGCTGGTGAGTTCAAAATAGAGCGAAATGTGCGTCCTGTATTCCACTACAACCCACCATCCATCTTTCATTATAATGCTTGTAACTTAAGGCAATATCGAGTCAATGTACATGGTATGCACATATATCAATAAGAGACGTGAACGTTTAACCTCTAGAAAACTGTTACGGCATCCAACAGTGCTGATATCTAACTTCAACCAATCCACGATTTTGCGCGACCATATTCTATTTTCTTCAGTGGGTAACTGCCTCACACTGCTTCTCTAGGACGAAATGGCCGTCCAATATTTCCAGGTTTTCAGTGGTGGTCTAACATTGATCGGTTCATGATTTCAATAAAATTCAACAATCTCCACAACCACAAAGTAAAATTAACTTCAACTAGCTTGGAAAATATCGATTTTACTAAGTAAGCTTATAGAAATGAGTACTCTGAGAGAAAATGTGCAAGTAAGCTAATTTAATAGGAATTACAGTTATGACAGCGACCAATCACTTCAAGTATGTACAGTTTCCAGAATAGAATTTGAACATGGAGCATAATGATTTTGTGCTTAATTTTCCACTCGATTGATGCAAATATCTGGTTCAATAATTTTTATCGTTTTATTATGAATGGATATTAATTCTTTAAATACTAAATATATAAAATTTATCTTTCTAACATTCTGTTAGGTTTGTTTCTTAATTGAATTATACCAAGCTAAAGAATTGTATACATTAGCATCTGGATAAGTTATTAATTAGCACGCATCTCTTAAGTGGGCTTTCATCTCAGTTCCTATGGAGACTAACAAAAGCACAAAAATTACAAGTGCAATCTTCCTAAAATGAAAATAGTGCTTCGCTAAATCATTATTTCCAACACATACCAAGTTAGAAGGTGTGAATTCTCAGAGATCATTCCATTAGGTGATTTGTACGTCGTGGAAGATAAGATGTATATACAGGCTATCTAATTTAGTTCAGTATTTAATTTAAATGAAAATTTGAAAAAAGCAGAAAAAACTGATATGTCTTGTTGAAACTTCATTACTGATCAAGACTTTAGTACATATTGATGAGGTGAAAATTACAACACTGAGTCGTTTCTGTGTAATATACTTCAAATGAATTTAAGCCGTGAAATACGTAACTTAACATTCCTTTTCAAAAAATATTGTTTGTTATATGTAATCATGGTTAGATCAACTTGATTTAATCCATAATTCCTATCTTGTTGATTTGGTAGGCAATACTGTGGTGAGCGCTACTGATGTCGATAAATATAATTAGTATGCATCATCGATCGAAAGTGATATACCTGGAGGTTGAAGTTTAGGAAAATAGAAAAGAGGAGAACGAGAACAGAGAGTGATTGGTGTGGAAACGAAAGAACAATCAAGTCTGAGACAGTCGAATAAAATTTTACAAATGAAGTATTTATTGCATGGTTCTCAGATTTTATTCGAGGTGTTCTGTAATTTTGCATTCAAATACATTTGGTGTTAGTGTTCACTACAATACTTTGATTTAGAAACCCAGTAAATTAGATTGTACCATTCATGAGACATTTGTAACCATTAGACAAGAGCTATGAATATAGTTATTTGTAATGAACTTTCGAATTTGTCTTAAATAAGGTTTACAGAGGCACAAATTCAAATTTTTCCAAGAATCTTTAATTTTACGAGTGGAAAGTCGAAATATATACGAGAATCCTGTTCTTAATCCATATCAATTTTTAAATTTCCTTATAAAATTTCAATTCTTTTTCCTAAAAATAATTAGTCAACTGAAGCTTTCATTGATGTTCTTAGTTTAAAATAGAGTAGTAGTTGATTGGTGATTAAATTCAGGAATGAAGATCCCAAAAAAGATCTAATAGAAATTTACATTACAAGCTTTTAAATGATTAAGGTTTAGAATTATTAAAATCTTGGTCATGGTAATTAAACCGATCATTGTATAGGTGCTCTGTCTTAAACAATCATTTTTATCACTGTTGGTATTTTACGTTCTATTTATTTCTGGTTAATATTTTGTATAACAAATCGGAGCCCACAAATGCCCTAGTACGGCCGAGAGTGGGAAGAGTCAGCTCTCCCGCTCGAAGTACTCTCACACGGCCACGTTCATACAACCACTGCCATGGAAGTCCTACTCACTGCCTTGTTGAGGTGAGGGTGTTGTTTAAAAAATTGAGTGGACGAAAGGCAAATATCCGGTGCTTTAACTGGGTTGATGGACACGGGGGATCCACATAGGGGAGTTGGGAAACCGTGATTCCAAACTAATGGTGAACATGAGCTCCAGTATCCTGAGGGAACAAATGGAGTATGGACCTATTGTTGGTTACCGGCTACCATGTGATTGCATCTCCTGACGTTGCCCCACTGCCTTGTGGATCAGACCTTTAGGTCGCAGGATCCAGGTGTGGCTCCCTTAAAAAACCACCTGCTTTGGTTTGGGCACCTGGGCCGTATCCCAGCCCTCACACAAATCGAATGATTTATGTGGCGCATATCCATTTGGTGCCTCCTTGTACTAATATTTATATGTTTAAACAAATATAAATAAATAAAATAATAACCTGGAACCCGCTCAACGATCGTTCTGTGAAACGTACACTTTAAGCGGCAACAGAATTCTGTCAGTAAGAGCTATTACAACTATGGGGGATTGTGGAGATTGTTAAATTTTATAATTTGTACTTTAGTGACTCATAAGTGGCTAGTTTTTAGAGGTAATTTCAATATTTCAAATGCAATGCTGTGACCAGTGGAATTTATCTATGCCAAATGTGGGATAGTTATCTACAAACGGCATCAGAAAACAGTTAAGCAACATTGAAATCATTGGGTACTTGTTCATTGGTTTGAAGGTTCAACACTCATTAAGAGGCCTGAATTTCGTTAGTTCAACCCCCCCCCCGTGTCTAATCATAGATGGGTACTTCTAAGAAGAACCAAACTAGAATGAAACATCTATTCCGTAATACACGGTTTTAATAATAATCGGATCATAAAGGATCCTTTGAAATCATGATTAGATGTCACTAGCCCCCAATATATATTCATAAGAGGAAATGATTGGGGGATTATTTTAATAAAAATCATGAGAATTGATTGATTATATAACATATGTCTTAATGTGTTTGTTGCCTCTTGATATGTCCGTATTCATTCTTTGAAAAAAAATGCAAATGTCCGCAAAAATAATAAAATGGTCATTTTGACTTTTAATTTTAATACTAATCATGGTGAATAAACTTAATAAGAACGCTATACAAGCTCATAATGAGTAAGTTATATAAAATCTTTTTGTTTTGTTTTGTTTAAGATGTTGCGGTGGCTACTATGTTTTTTTGTTTTTCTTTTGTTGTTGTTGTAAAGAATAGTTGCATCTCTCTTATTGATATCCCTTACATAATATTGATTTAATTATTGGTTGTCGGAAATGAGAACAAGTTTATGTTACAAATTCAATGTAATTAAGATAATAGTAACTAATTCATTAATGTAGTTCATCTCAACTAAAAGAACAAAACAACAAACAGAAATTCCCAAAATCTAGTCTTTTAGAAAAAAAAGTGATGCATTTTCAACATCTATAAGTAATAACTATTGTAATTACGAGTTAATCTAAACTAGACTACTATTTGAGTACCTGGAAGTATTGACGACTTTTTTTTCCCAGTATGGTGATCATGTGCTCACTAGTGACTAGCTTTAAGATGTAACGCCTGATGTTCTAGTGAGAAGCCGTGACCATTGGAGTCCAACCTGTGTCGGGTATGAGATATTAATCCTTCTCAAACAATAGATGAAAGGTTGCGTATGATCATCGATTGATTGAAATTGGACAGTAACACTGTTAAATGCCAACTCAGTGGTTTACAGGTTATGTGTACACGCACGAGACTGAAGGCCCTGGGTTTGAGTCCCACGTGTAGGATCGTGGATCTGCATCGCTAGGAAGCTCCACATTAGGACGAAACGACCGTCTAGTGTTTCTAAGTTTTCAATGGTGATCTAGCTTAAATTGACTCTTGATTTCAACTATTGTATTGTATTATTCAAGTTTTTTACTGAACGTATCCAAACATTAAATGTTGTAGGGTTGTATTGTATTGTATTTTCAGATTCCTATCATGTATTTTATTAATTTATACATAGATTAAGATGAACTTTATTTCGGTACAAATCGATTACTATTTATTATATAACGTTTATTTAATGGAGTCACTTAACAGTTAGACTGACTACATGAAATAACTACAAAACGTTTATCCTTAAAAATTATAAAACAAAATTATTTTGTGATGAATCACATAAGGATAATTCTTTAATTTTTTTATATCCTGGCGACCATTATGAATGGTAACTTTAGAGAAGTATTTATAGACAAATATTATACGTATATTCTTAATGTATAACTATTCAGTAGCTAGATTATGTTTACCTATACTCCTCTTATTACAAGCCTTACTTTGACCTATAAACTATCGTTATACGATTTACAATTATTGAGTTATGCCCAGTTTATTAATTACAACCTCTCATATTCACAGCCGCTAAGTCTTGTACATATGTTATTTTCTATTTTATGGTGGTCTGTTTGGTTTGTATATAAACCCAGTATACTTGAAATACATAATTCATATCGCAGGGACTGAGATTGGTGTTCTGGACTTAACGGCCAGGGCTAAGAGGAAAAAGGACCGATAAGGGCTCTACACTGCTCGTACCGATTTATGAGTCATTGGTCCGGTCGATAAGCCACTGTTATCTAATTGAAAGTTTCATTGCGTTATATATTAAAAGAGCACAAGGCCACAACTTAAAACAAATATGTATAGGTTTTATTTTATGAAATAAATACTTTTGTAAATGTCATTAGTGATTTTATACCACATGAAACATATTTATCTTTGCTGACTGTCGTTTTTAAGCGGTATACTTTGGTATTTTTTAATCTCTAAGGTAGTGTAACTACGATATGAACAGTTTTTCTAAAAAATCCGAATTACATGGGGATATCGATTATTTTCCGATAGATTTGTTTTGCTTATTATGTTCATTTTTTCAATATAACTTCAGTCATAATGAAAGAGGTCTTGACAATTATTGATAAGGTTTTCGATTAAACAAAAGTAATTGAGTCTAGTATAATTACTTATTTACTTATGCCTGTTACTCCTCATGGAGGAGCATAGGCTGCCCACTGGCGGTCATCATCTAGCTCTGTCCTGGGTAATGCTTTCAAGTTGTCTCCAGTTGCTATTCATCTTTTTGATGCCTGCTTCCAATTCCAGGCTCAATGTGTTCCTTGGTATTCCACTTTACCTCTTCCCTTCAGGATTCCAAGTTAGCGCTTCCTTCGCGATGAAGTTTTATGATTTCCACAATGTCTGTTTTATCCATATGGCTTAGAATAACAGTTAAAGACTTCATGGACTGACGTCACATCTTGGTTCGGCTGCCCCTAGCTTCTTTCCAAACTACTTATGTAATATCGTGGTAAGCATCAGTTAGGCATATATAAAATATATTTGGACTTCTACAATTACTGAAGATTTACAGCCTTATCAACTGATTTGCCATCTTTGTCAAATGTCCTATGCTTAACCTCAACATTTATGACTTGGTCTTTCCACGGACTACGGGAAACGCTTCGAGGACACCTATGACAAGAATCCTTGAGCCTAGTATGATTTGTTAATTCTTGGTTGGATTTCTGAGAAATATTTTCATTTTTTCAATAATTTTCAGTGGTCCACTTATTTAGAGTTGTTACAAAACATTGAATCCCAAATGTCCATTAAAGATTGTGGTACAATTGTAATAAGTGTTATATAATTGAGATTATGACTAAATAGTTAACGGATTTGACGTTCAGTCACAGAAGTGGGTTCCGAAAAACTATCTTTCAGAATAATAGAAAAGTCCTATGCTGAGAACAGGATCCAAATAGTAACCGCTTACTGCAGTGTATATATTAGGAAATTACTAATTAACTTAACGTTGATATTATTTTAATTTGTGATGTTTTGAATTGTCCAGTCGCTGATATTTCGACTGAAATTTGATTGGTCTCGATTGGAACACGTAAATCCTATGAGGATTGCCTTGATATAGTCACTTTGGCATAAGTTTACACGTAGTCTAGATGGAACATGCTTAGCAGTGAAATCCACATATCCTTATTCAAGTCAAAACTTCATAAAAACCGATTTTTATTTAAAAGAATGTTAAATGATAAATTAAACAAAATGTTGGAGACGTATTATCTAGTAAATTAGGAAATATATTCAAAAGATCTGGTTATGAGCTAAATGATAGCATTAAGATCGATATTTTAGGAACTTTTATCCGCACTTTCTATGACAAGGAAGAATACATAATTACGTTCGTTAAGAATTTGATTAAAAAAAGGCACACGTTTTCATTATGTTACTCGTCAGCTGGATGTATCCACATCGTTCCGGGACTCAAGCCCAGTGCCAAACACTTGAAACTCCAACGTGTTATCCACTGAACAACTGAGTCCAGATAGTAATCCGCTTGTGTAAAAATGAACTATATAAAAGTTTATATCTTTAGTATAAATAAAAAAACATATTTGGATTTATTCTACACTACTATTTTTATCAGTATAGAAGTTGTGGCCATTGCTTGTGATGTCAATAACATTCAACAATCTTCACAATTCCTATACTAATAATAATCATGTGCTCACTGATAACTAGTTTTGAGAAGAAATTCTCAGACTTCTAGTAAGAAGCATAGACCAATAGAGTTCAACCATTTCCGGTATGAGAAACGTACCCACCAAAGACAATGGAAAAAATATTCAGGCATCATAATGGATTGATTAAAATTAAATATGTACACCATTTAGTGATGAATTAGTGTTTACAAGGAAGATCGAAAGTCCTAGGTTCGATTCCTGGTTGAGAGGCTACAGATGTACACTACTGATTAATCACAATTAATTGATCACTGGGTGGCGATCAATGTCATGCGTGTCTAGTCCTTATTAATGCAGACTGAATGCTATCAACCAAGTTGCAATGTGGCCACCAACCTAGGTGACCCGTCACTGTGTGCACTATGCTGAGATTAGATGGTGGTTGGAGGTAGTCGACAGGAAACCCTGGATCCGGGTTTCGTGCTGCTTAACACTCGTCAACAAGGTGTACCTGTAATCTTGAGGGATCTGGTGCTCCCTGACAAATTCGGTCTCGTGACACCCAGCTTCACAGTCAGAGACGTTACCACTGAGCTATCCGAGCCGCGACCGACCTCCTGTAGGACTGAGATGTAATTACAATTGATTGATCACTGGGTGGCGATCAATGTCATGCGTGTCTAATCCTTATTAGTGCAGATCGAATGCTATCGATCATGTTGCAGTGACACGAGATCAAATCCGCCAGGGAGCGCCAGTTCCCTCAAGATTACAGGTACACCTTGCTGACGAGTGCCAAGTAGCATGAAACCCAGGCCTAGGATTTCCTGTCGACTACCTCCAACCACCATCTAACTACTGATGAATCTCATACTAGAACAAAGTAGTTGTCCAGTAATTTTAGACTTTCAATAATACCTAATATTTTTAGTCAAGAGACATTTTATTCACAAAACTCTATGATATAACATTAAAATTTCAAAAAAAAATTGGCGAAACCTTGTTACTACTAGTCCATAACCATATGACCTACATACTTTTAATAATAGTAAATTCAATTCAGCATTATTTTATTCATTATTTATTTTCACAATAATATTCACAATCAACATTGTTTCTGACATAAAATATTATCGATCCGAAAAATACTGTTTCAGATAAACCATTTGATAACACATAGTTTTATATTTAAAAACAAACAAACAAACGAACATTGTACGTTCAACAACGAATTTCAGTCATGATGTAATCGTAGTTGTAATTTATGTGCTTAATCCAGTTATATTCGTTATTTAAAGTGTCTTTTAGAATTCTAGGTGCGTCGTTTATGTAGTTATTATACATAAACTTTTAAAATAATTGTATTCAATAACTCATTTTTGTATTAGTCCTTTGAATTTTCCCACTGACGTTTAAGATTGTAAAATTGATCAGTCTCTTAATGGCATATATACATCTTAGGTGGATTGCTTCTATATGACCTTAGGTTACAAATATTACAAGCAAAGATAGATGGTGGTTAGTAGTGAAATCCAGGGCATGAGTTTCATCCTAACGCAACGACGTTTGGAGAGAATGGTACTGGGTCCGAGTCCTGGAGTGAACATCAA